GCTCATGGCAGGTGCTTAAAGAATGTAAAACAAGTGAGTGAAGACCTCTTCTGGTTCTTTCTGTGGTTCTTAAACCTTCCAAGCTGCAGTTCTATTATTACCTGTTCTGTCTTCCGGGATTGATGGAAGGGTCAAGAGGCAAACAAAATATATGAGTCCACATAATAAAATAGTACTGTCCTCTGCCGAGCCCTGTGAGAAACTCTCCTCCAGACAGTCAGAGAGGCCTGGTCTTCCCATCCCTGTCCTAATCTAGAACTTAAGGCACCTCAAGAGTTCTGCTGCAGACACACATCTGCCCAGCCTTGTCCATCCATGGAAAAGAGGAAGCGGCTCTTAACGCACGCTGATAACTTTGGCAAGGAAGGAGCAGTAGTTATGACCCCACCCTGGCACAGGGTAGGTGTTCAATAAATGTCTGACAAATAAATGACCCTTGTCCAGGGGAGCACAGTAGTTCATTGCATGGGTCTGGGGGCAGTCAGATCTAAGTTTTCCCTGTCCCTTGTCTTACTGCTTTTTCCAGGGTGATGTTGATTTGTAGGAGAGATAGTAGGTGTCATTGTCTTGTCTCTAATGCTTTATCATCAAGAATGATATTTGCATTCAAGAGCTTTTTACTCCTAATGATACCAGAGCCAGATGTATTTACTGGCATTTTATTTGACTTCCATGTAAACCGTTTTCTTGGTGTCAAGTTCCAGACCCTTCTCATTAGTCAGTTAGTCCCCTGTGACCTAACAGGACCTCCAGACCTTGTCCCCCCAACCCCACCCCCACTGTCCTCAGGGTCTCTGTCAACCTCTTTGACTCAGTGGACTTTCCAGGGCAAGAGCTCTAAGTAAGCAGAGTTGGGGCAAGCAGTGTTCCAAAGTGCCCCACCTTTGTCTGCCGGACCACAGGACAGAATGTATTGATCACTGTGCTTGCAAGGGAGGAATCCCGTCCCCATATGCTCTAACTCCAGGCTACTCCTCCTTATCCTTTAAGACATAGTTTGGACATCACCTCTTCCACGAAGCCTTCCCTAATGACCCCCCGACTCCTATAATGTGTATTATTGCAACTGTCACATCGTTTGTAATTATACTTTTATTTCTGTGTCTTGTGAGCATCCTGAGGATGGGGACTCTTATTCGTGTCTATCTCCCCACTGCCAAGCATAAATAACCATATCCACGTGCAAAGCATTAAAAGTTACATGTTAGTGTCGAGGAAAACTACAAAGACTATTGAGCTGAACCTTGAAGAATAGGCAGGAGCCTGGTCAGCCGAAATGGAGGAGGGCGTGCCAAGTGGAGCACACAGCACGTGTAAGGGCCCAGAAGGGAGGAAATGTGTTGTTTTCAGGTACTAATAGAGAAGTCCAGTGTGGCTGAGTGGTGCCTTGAAGGAGTGGCCAGTGAGTCTGGAAAGTTAGGGCAAGCCAGCTGCAAGGTTGTAAGTAGACTTTCTTGTCAAGCAAAGGGGAAAACTTAATCCAAAGGGCAGAGGAGTCATCCAGGGAAACGGCATCATTTCAACTCTTTTAGGAGGACCTCTCTGGGGTAGCAAAGGACATGGTTCTAACTTCAGCTGCATTAGAAGCACCTGGAGGGCTTATTAAGCTGTGGTTCTGGGTCCTACCCACTGTGTTCCTTCTACAGGTCTTGAGTGGGGCCTGAGAATATGCATTTCTCACATGATCCCAGCTAATGCTGGTCTGAGGTCCACACTTTGAAAACCGCTGCTAGAGAGGATGGGATGAAGAATGGGTAGCAGAGAGAACAGTAAGGAAGGCATTGAAATAACCCAGGTGACAGGCGAGGGAGGCCGAGCAGGGAAGGCGCTCACATTTTACATCTGGGTACTGCCAACTTTTTAGTCTTAATCTTTTCAGATTTCAGGCACGGTAATAAGCCAATGCGGAAGAGAGAAATCAGCCAGTTGGTCAGGACTGTCCTCATGCCTGCTCTGGCAGGACCAGACCCACACCGGTAATGACTTTCAGAAAGCACAACGGAGACAAGGTGCCCAGAGTTGCTGTTTAATGCCTGATTATCACACACAAGGAGGTGTACATGGTGCTCATCAAAGTAGGACCCAGAACCAAACCAGGCAGGAGGTAAGTGACCCATACAGCATCTCAGCACTGGGACCAGGTTCCCTCGGACTTGCTCATCCTTGAGACACATGTGCTGCACACAAGTCTTCTTCACTCACACAGGCTGGCCAGGCTTCTGGTTACTGAGGGTCCTCATGGGAGAACAAGGCCCCAGGATGGGGTGGGGACCTCGGAGCACAATGATGAGAACAGGACAGCTGCTGGTAAACAACCTCAAAAGGCTTTCACTTCAAATGCACTAAGCCATACAATGTTCAGACACGAGACATCCAAACTCTTTCACTTAAGACACTAAACACTGTGCAGAACTGATTCTGAAAACATTTGGGGAGAGAAAACAAAGCCCAAAACATCCAAGAGCCAGTTTTATGAGCCCCATTTCCCTCCGTTCCCTGCAGCCGTGCTAGTCAGACCAGCACCGCAGTGGAGAAGGGACACCGCTCTGGTCTAGCAAACACTTTCAACAGGAAGGGACATGGGACCATGTTCCTGGTTTTAAGAAATTTCTTAGAATCTGACTCTATTCAACAATGTAATACTACTGGGTTCCCGGGAGCCCCGAGTCTTTGATGTCCCTGGGGACACAGGTGACTTGGAGGCTGGGAAATTTCCTGGTAGAAATAACGTACCGTAGGAGAAACTGGCTTTCCTTCTGCCCTAGTTTTAATGTTGACCTGGTCCCTAAAGGAAATGCCCCTCCAAATGCGTTCTTAAAGCACTTGAGTGAACTTGGGGGGTTTCAAGTATCACTGGTAAGAAAGAGGCTCGAATTTGTTTCCCACACTGAGCCTGAGGCCTGGCCTGGGTGGCCCAGCCCCCGTCCAATCCTGTGGCTGGGCATTTGGAGAATGAGCTTGAGTTCTGGCCAGGTTTCACCATTAAACTCATTCCCAATGGATCCTACAGGCTTCTTAATCCTTTTTTAAAAAAAATTTAATTCTAGGAAAGAGCTCTAGATAGAGCCCAAAGCATGAAAGTCAAACATTTCTGTCCTCAGAGATGGTGAGTGGCTAAACAGCAGCCCAGCGAAGAGCGCGGAATAGCCACACCATCTCCAGCCCCACACATCCCAAAAACCAGATCCCAGGCAGCATCCCCTTCTCTTGCCAGGGCCGGGGGGGTCCGGGCCTGCTGGGCCGCAAAACGGGCTTTTGACGAGAGCCCCAGTGAGCTGCGGGGGCGGCGAGCCCAAAGGTGTTTCTGTAAATTATAGAAAACTATAATTTACAAACTAGAGAGCTGGGCATCTTTGACCTGTGACCAACAAGGCACAACTGTCCCCAGCTGGACGTTAGCTCACATTGGTCCCCAGTCCCCAAAGACACCCACCCACCTGCCATACTTCAGATACCTATAGGTCACCTCAAGAGTAATCCCATGAGGCCAAATTCATATTATAAACCAACTTAATGCTACAAACTTGGGGGGAAAAGAAAGTGCTGCCCAGCTGAGCCCCTGAGGAAACAGCTCCCTGAGGGTGGGTGGCGGGCCTCTCAGACCACCACCCTGGCCGCCTCCCTCCAGAAGGCACAGCCTTGGTTTAGCCCAGGGCACCCCGCCCCAAGTCGGTGCGGGAGGAGAGCTGACAGCCCCCGCCCGACGGGGCTACAGGGACAACGGGTGGTCAAGCCTCTGGGGGTTGGGGTGGGGTGAGGCCGAAAGACCTCAGAACCCCAGGTCTGAAGAGGTAACATGAGTCCATCGCCCCATCTGCTGCCTACATCCGGTCTGCAATGAAGACCCTCTCTGTCACCACTTCTGCATTCCTGTGACAAAAGGAGCCAACATGTCATCAAGTCCTGGTCACCTCTGTCCCTGGGGGTCCATGTGAGAACTGGGGAGAAGGAGAAGGCCTTAAAGAACCACCCCCTTTAACAAACAAGGCAAAAAAATAATAATAATAAATCTTTCCAAGGAAAGGGAGGGGCAGGGAGGGGAGGAGGATACCGGCAGGTACAGTGGGGGTGTGTTCTGGCAATTTCCTGTCTTAGTCTCACCCTTCTCTGTGGTGTAGCTGCCTCTGCCTCCCAGGTCCTCAGTGTGAAACTGCCCATCCCAGCGAGAGGCCCAAATGGAGGAGCAGTGGACAGCCACTCAACCTGCTTCCTCAGTAGCACTTCTCTGCTGTCTCCCTGGGGGACCATTTTTTACATTCTAAGGGAGGGGGATACGGAATTCCACAGGGAGGGAGGCTCCTTAACTGGCTGGTCCTGTTTCCTCAGGAGCCTCAGTGCCGTCTGAGTTGGGAAGGCTTCCTGGAACCATCTCTGGGACAGAGGAGACCAGGAAGCCAAGGCTGGGACCTCAGCTGCTGCAGACAGGGTGGCCCCTGGGAGACCCTGCCCGCATGCGGTGGGGCACCAGGGAGTGCGCCTGGGTGCCCGGAAGCCCAGGGCTGCCCTTGGACAACAGCCAGTGCAGGGCCTGTCTGAGAAATCTTGCTAGAACTACTGGAACATGTCCCTGCTAAAACTCAGGGAAGACACACAAACAAAACTCAACCTGAAATAAATACAAAAGGCATTAAGTGCTTTTCCATAAACTGAGGGTCCTAATTACCCCTCCCAAGGCAGTGGCAGGGCCTTTCCCAAGACCTAGTCACCTCCTCTGTGGCCCTTCATGTTAGAGGTCAGAAGACTAGATGGGCTTTCCCAGGCCCAGCTTCCAAGAGGAAAACCAGTACTCATCCCCTGATACAATCCTCACCTGTACCCTCCACAAGCCGCCCAGACACCCTCGGCTGGTGCAGGGGTTTGGGGGGACAGGAAGGAGAGAAGACCACCATGCTTAAGGGTAACACCTTGTGTCCAACGTCCCTGTGTAGGCAGAGGGCCTGTCAGTCTGTCTGTGAGGAGGTAGAGACAGTGGCGGGGCTGCTGGGGGCGGGCAGCGTCGCTCAATTAATCAGCAGGTCCCCGAAGTCATAGGAGTCAAAGAGGTCGCTGATGCCCTCACCCCCATCCAGGCCCCACAGGTAGTCGTCCTGGTCCAAGGGCGGAGAGAAGCTGATCAGAGGGGAGCTCTCTGTCAGGGCTGGGGACAGGAACTGGTCCTCGGTCTGCTGCAGAAGCGGGTGCGGCAGCTCCAGCATGCTGTCAGTGGCCTCCAGAGGGACGAGGGACGGTGGCGGCAGCAGGACACCTTCCTGCTGGGGAGTCAGCGATGGCGCTGGAGACAAACAGACAAGGGTTATGACTGGCCCTGGTGCCCAGAAGCCTTTGGTCAGACCTCAGAGGATAGGGAGAGCCTCCTGGTTCCCTGGATGACCGTGTACCCTTCTCTTCTCTCTCGCCCTGCCCCACACCTAGTGGCGCAGGACACCACCCCCCCGCCCACCGCCCTGTCCTGGCACCAGCTCTAGCAGCTGCCCTCCGTCTCCCATACTCTCCTCCGTCCTCTCCCAGTGGGTGGGGTCTCCTGCTCTCAGAACCCATCCTCTTTCACCATGATGTCCCCGAAATCATTTTCTCTTTTTCCTGCATCATCAGTTTCACTCTACTAGATCATTCCCATCCACACAGGGACATATCTAACAACCCCTGACTCTGACACAGCATCCGCCCCTGACCTCGTGGCTCTCCAGTTACCCGCCCATGTAACTGCTCCCTTTGAGAGTACAATTTCTCACGAGTTTCCTGCACTCACTGTCATGATGAATGAACCACCACCCACTCAGCTGGCTAGGCCCAAAGGCCCAAGAGTCCTGGAATCCTGCCCATTTCCCCTGCATCCAATCCAGCAGCAAGTGCATCTTGGCAACCAAGTGGATTCTGAAAGCTCCCCACTTCTCTCCTCTTCCATCGTTGTGGTCCTTTTCCCGCCCCCTCCTCTCTCACCCACACCGCTGCAGGAGCCTCCTGACCAGCCACCTTCCTTCAACTCTTGCCCCTTGCCGTCTGTGCGGATATAAAAAGAACTTAGAGCCTTGGCTGGTATGGCTCAGTGGACTAAGCGCCAGCCTGTGAACCAAAAGGTCACAGGTTTGATTCCCAGTCAGGGTACATGCCTGAGGTGTGGGCAGGGTCGCCGGATGGGGGTGCATGAGAGGCAACCACACATTGATGTTTCCCTCCCTCTTTCTCCCCCTCTCTAAAATAAATAAATAAATAAAACAAACAAACAAATAAATAAAATCTTTAAAAAAAGAAAAAAAAAGAAGAACTTAGAGCCCTGGCTGGTGTGGCTCAGAGGACTGAGCACTGGCCTCTGAACCGAAAGGTTGCTGGTTTGATTCCCGTCAGGGCAGATGCCTGGGTTGTGGGCCATGTCCCTGGTTGGGGACATGATGTTTCTTTCACACACTGATGTTTCTCTCCCTCTCTTTCTACCTCTCTTCTCTTCTCTCAAAATAAATAAATAAAATCTTTCTTTTGGGGAAAAAAAAAAGGACTTAGAATAAAATGCAAGTTCCGACCAGGGCTGGGAAGGCCCTGCACGATCTGGCCCCGCCCCCACACTTCCCACGCAGCTGCTCCTGCTGCACTGGCCATCAGCTAGCCTCCAGCGCCAAGTTCATTGTCATATAGAGGTAAGAAGGCAATCTCCTACACAGAGATGTGGAGGAGGGCACAGAAGTCCCCTGTCAATATATCCCGATGCCTAGAATCTCTCACCATTTGAGTCATTCCTCAAAGCCCAACCAAGCACTGCTCTGACAATGCAACTGTGCTGTGCGCCTGACCGCCTGTGGGCAAGCGACTTAAGCTTCAGCCTCTGTTTCCTCACCTCTAGGACGGGGACGAGTATACAGACCCCGGAGGGCCGCTGAGAGGATTAAATGCTAAGCGCAGCTGAAGAGCGGCTGGTGTGCAGAAGCCTGCGCCGGGCCTGCACTGCCCTTGTCAACAGCCACAGGGACCCCTAGTCACCGAGGGCTTCCCGGGCCCAGCTCTGCTCTCAAGGAGGGGTATGTTTCACCTCCTGGGACACTCAAATGTTAGTGTTGTCACCCCTACTTACAGATGAGGAAACTGAGGCTCAAAGAAGTCCATCAAATGTATCCAAACGAAAACAAACAGACAAACATTTATCACATTGCAGGGGCCTGCAGGTATTACAGAAAGAGGTCTGGCTCGGGAGTGGGGAGGACATGGGCTCAGATCCCAGCCCCCTTTCACCGGCAGTGGGACCCAGCACCTCCATTTTACCACCAGGAAAAGTAAGGATCGACCTCAGTGAATTGCTGGGAGCAGCAGCTGGGATAACACGTGTGAAAGCCTCTGCTGCAGGCCAGAGCTCGCTCACGCGCACTCACTCTCTCTCGCTCTCTTTCTTCCATGCTGAAGGGAATTGCTTTGTCCTGTCTGAGCCTCCACTGTCCTCTGAATGGCTCGTATTCACTTCTATATCTCCCAAACTGCACACAGTAGGTGCTCAGTGCACATATGCTTTTTAGAAAATCACATTCACCCAGTATCATCTCCAAAACCCTCTCCATGAGGGAGTTTTAAGTGTCCCATTTTAGAGATGCGGGAATAGGCTCAGAGGGGCTAGAGCGACCCACCCACCATCACCAAGTCAGAGGAGGTGAGGTGCAGGCGAGTCTCCCCGTCTCAACTTTTGCGCCGTCAGCCTTATTTAGATTTACCTCAGAATGCCAGAGCCTGGAAGGATGGTGTCAGAGGACAACTGAAGTGAAAGTGGTTCTGACTTGGGAGAGCTGTGCACTTGTTGACAGCGGAGTGAGAAGCAGGAGGAAGAGCAGGGTGGGGCACAGGTCTGGAGTGGGAGATAGGCACTGGGAGGTGCCCAGAGGGGCAGATGGCTGGTGCAGGGAGAAGCCCTGGTCCCCAGACCAGGCCAGGACACAGGCGAGATCATTAGAGAAGAGCTGGGAGTCTGGGCTGTTGCCCAAGTTCCACCACCGACTTGCTGTGTGACCTTAGGGAAGTCACCTTCCCTCTCTGGGCTTCTGTCACAGTCACTTTCTTTTCTTTTTTTCCCCCCCTACAACTCTAACAATATGACAACCATTCTTAGCTCATGAACCATAAAAAAACAGGCCACATTTGGCCTCTAGGCAATAGCTTCTTAATCCTTGAGTTAAAGAAAGAATGGAATCCAATATGTATTCTATAGACCCTCCCAAACATGCCTCTTCCATCAGGCTGGTTCTAGCTCTGCATCTGTTTAAACATCGGGGTTCTACTTAAGGAAATTCTGCTACTAAAAACACAAAAAGTGGAACACCGGCCTCAAGAATCCTGCCAGTCTGACCTGAAGTGTGGTCCCAGGAAAGGGCAAAAACCATTCTGGTGGAGGGGCCTTCGCCGGTTCCCGCTCCTACTCCTTCCGGACTCCAACCGTCCCTGGGAAGCGCGCGGGGACCTCTCCTACCTCTTCACACCCTGGCAGCTGCCACACTCTACCTCCCGCAGGTGCAGCAGCGTTTGGCTGCGCTGTCCACCTCCCAGCTGGGGCTGAGCCGGGACCCCCTTCCCTGACCTGTTCTGTGCCTCGCGGGGACAGCACTGGACTGGGAGTGCGGAGATCAAGGCTGAGGACCCCACTCTGTTGTCTCCCAGCTGGGAGACCTTGGGCAGGTCACATTGCCCCTCTGCCTCAGTTTATTATCTCTAAACTGGGTATAATAAAACCTACCTCAAGAATTGCTGTGAGGAGTAAAGTGAAAATAGGTGTACCTGGTAGAGTCATGCTTCAAAAACCTTACTTATTACTGTTCACAAAAGTGTTGAGTCTTCCTCAAAAAAAGCCTATAGTTTCCACTTCCTGTGGGCTTACTGAGCGCCAGGAGCTTTGCTGTTCATGGCTGTCACAGAAGCAGCAGTACTATTGGTAGTGGCAATAATCATGATAACAGCAGGTAACATGTATTGCTAGGCACAGTTCTAAGTGCTCTTCGCATATTAACTCACTTAATTCTCACAACAACCTATGAAGTAAATACTATTAACTACTAGGCCCAACTTACAGATGAGGAAATTGAGGTAAATCGAGGTTAAATAATGTATCCAAGGTCACAGAGCTGGTAAGTGGAAGAGCTGGGATTCAAACCCAAGCCCCCCACTGTTGCGAAGCAGGATCAGCCTGCCAATGGGGCAGCAATGCGCATGTGCTTTACAGAGTGTGGAGTGCAGTACACACACACGGGAGGACTGTATCCCCTGCCGCTGGCCAGAAGGTCGACACCCAACAAATGCTGCCATGGAAGAGGAAACTAAAGCCAGTTGGTCTGCCCACCTCCTGTCCCCCCGGACAGAGGGCCCTACCTGGGGAGGCTGTGGGTTCCAGAATGCCAGGGTTGGCGCTGCTGCTGGGCTGGGCACCGTCAGGGCTGGGGCTAAGGGTGGACGTGGAGGGGACGGGCTCCTTGGCAGGGCTGTCTGGTTCCTGCATCTCCTCCGGGCACAAGTAGACTTCGATGGGCCCTTGCGTGCTCTTCAGGTATATCTGCAGGTTGTCCTGGAGGAGGGAGAGAAGCCAGGTCATGGCTCTGGGCAGCTGAACACTCACTCAGGGGTCCGTGTACATGGACGGACACACGTGGCTCCCACCATTCACGGGAGCAAGCTCAACTCCTGAGCTGGGCACTGAGGCCCGCTCGTCTGGCCCATGTAACATCTGCTGCTTCTGCCTGTCTGCCCGCCCCCCATGCCCCCTTCTTTTAGGGAGAATGCCTGGATTTTCCTGTGGGAAATCCCTTTACTCCTACTCTCAAGCTCCACTGGGTGAGCTTGGGATGCAGGACAAGAAAGTCCAAGTGACAGTGTCTGGGGCAGGATGGCATGTGACTCAGGTCAGTCCAACCAGCATCAGGCTGCAGGCCTGGCAATGGATGCTCCATTCCCACTGGGCTTGCTGAGCTGGTAACATAAAAGCTGTTTTTGCCACAACGGGAGAGCCCACCTGTGAGCAGAGTCAGCACAGAGAATGGCGGAGTGAGAGATGGAGAGCATGAGGGGGGCTTAAAGCCGTAAGGCGAGCCCCTGCGGCCAGCCTGGCCTGCAACCTCCATTGTTTCCCCCTTCCCCCTCACTGAAGCCAGCTGGACTTGTCTGTGACGTGCAACCGTGAGTCCTGATACATGGCTTTCCGCCTGCCTCTTGCCTACTACACACCTGCCGCTCCGGCTGCACTCGGCTCTCCAGGCCGGGGCTTGTGCAGTGCCCTCCTCCCCCTACTGCACTCGGCAAGAGTCCTGTGCAGTAATATTGAGAGAAGTTTGCACCGTGACACGTGATTACTAAACTTAGTGTGGCGATCACATAGTAAGGCGTACAACTGTCGAGTCATTATATTGTACACCTGAAACTAATATAATATTGTATACCAACTATATGGAAATAAATAAAGGGCTTAATTTTTAAAAATCCTATTCATTCTTTAGGACCCAGTTTAACTGTCACCACCTATGGGGGCTTCCTCCAACTTCCCTTTCTCCTGGCCCTCTAAGCCCATCTTCAGTCTATGAATCGCTGCTTGCTCGAGTCTTTTCTCTTTTAGGTTCCTAGCTCCTCCAAGGCAGTGAAGGCAGGGCCTTACTTATCTTGATGTCCTTCCATTAAATGAGTTATTTCTTGAGCCCTTATTGGGCTCTTGGTTGGGGGTACATGAGAGAAAAGTATTTCTAGGGCCTTTACAGTCTAACGGACGAAGCAGACACAGCCATGTAAGCACCAAGATATCCTGGCAAATGGAGGCTAGGTGTGGTGGGAAAACACTGATGGTTATGAAGTCTGGGGGTGATCAGGGAAGGCTTCTGGGTGGAAGTGATGTTTGAGTTGCGACCTGTAGGCTCAATGGCAGTAAACCAGGTGGAGAGTGGGAAGAGTATTTCAGCTGGAGGGAAGAGCACGTGTGGAGGTCCTGTACTGGGGACAAGCTTACTGTGGTGGGGAAACTGCAGGCAGAAGGGTGGCTGAAGCAAAGAAGGGACGGGGTGGGGGGCGGTGGCATCCAAGAGGAGGTTGGTGAGGTCAGAGCACAGCGGGCCTCGCAGCGGGTGTTAAGGATTCTGGTCTTTAATCTCGAACAGCATGGTTAGTGTGAAAGCATAATGGTGAGTACCAACAGCGCTGTGTGCAGGGACGCAGGGCTGGTGGGATGCAGAGAGGAACCAGAAGCAGAGGTTTTTCTCAGGCCAGAATCTGTCACCCTTTCCAGCTTCTGTCCTTTCTGCCTCAGCTCAGATCTTGCCGTGGACACCAGCAAGGACTGGGGAACCTTGGGGTCGGGCAGCGCCAGGGACAGGGCCTGCAGAGCTGCCCGGGGCCCTCCTAAGCCTCCTTTCCACTGAATGCTGCCCCCTCTCACCTCGCTCTTGTCGGGCACTTCCAGTCTTGTCTGCGGAGGGGCCTTGACAGCGATCACTGTCTGTTCCTTAAAGGTGCCAATAGCACGGATGTCCTGGTAAGTCACATAGGCCAGTGTAGGGGGCAGGAGAGTCAAGGGAAGTCAAAATCCACACTCTCAGTCCATCAGGCAGGGATCCCGTCCCTGTCCCCTAAGCCTTTGAACATTTTTCCTCACGCCTTATACGGCTTAGAAATGACCCCAAGCCGTAACCTGTTCTTTTAATAGCATAAGGTACTTCGGATCTCTTTAGAAAGCAAATGAGGGTATAAATCATTTTTCTTTAAATGATGCCTTTTATCAATTTTTTACATAAAGGCTTCCTCTCTCAAACTAGAGAAGGCCGAAAGGCACGTCTTATTGCTTTAAATCTCTCACAATGCCCAGCATCCTTCCAAAAAATATAAGGTCATATGCAAAAAAAAAACCAATTAGATGGTGAAACTATTTGGGAAAAACATATAAAAAGCCTTAACAAAGCCCATGCTCTGTGACCTCATCATTTCAATCCTAGTTGCAGAGAAATAAGTAAAAGAAAGGAGGAAAATGTTCTACATACAAAGGCATCCATTGTTGTGTTGTTTCATAAAAGCAGAAATCTAGAATAGATCTAAATGTTGATTTTGGGCCTTATTATCAAACTCAGAGCACAGTCTGAGTGGGACATTCTCAAAGCACTTTAAATATGAGGTTAAACCATATGAGACTGCTGTTTTTGTAGATAAAAAATGGTTCAATATCAATAATTTCATATAGATCAACCAAATAGGAAGGAAGGATTTGTAACCACATAAAAATTGTCTATGGTAATATACTAAGTGGAGAGAAGCAGGATATAAAATGTCATGCACAGCAGTCACACACTATATTCAAAACAACCTCTGTAAAGTTGGAAAACAATGGCTATGTTGTGGTGGCAGCTATTTCTTTCTTTTCTCCATTTTGCATTTAAAGAAATATTGTCTTACTTTTACTATGGGACAGTAACTTCAGTAGAATCAAGAGGAAAAGCCACCCAGAAAGGAAAAAACAGATATGCCAGGCCCTGAGGGAGGTACTGCGTCAACTCTGGACAGATGTGAGCAGGCAGCAGGTCCCAACCTCCCGACAACCTTCTCCCAACCAAAGAGGATATTTCTTGTTGGCCTTGTCCTCGGTCAGGTGCTTGAAGTTCAGCGAGCAGCTCTGGATGAGCTGGTCCAAGGCCTGCTCCGTACTCATCAGCTCCTTCAGCTCCTGCCCCAGCTGCTGCTGCTTCCTGGGCCCACTGGGGTCTTCAAACATTCCCCTGCCTCTGGGAACAGAGCAGCCCCCCAGTGTCAGTCTTAGTCCACACCTAGGGACCCCAACCCGAGGGCTGCTGTGCTCAACTGCAAAGAAAGTGCACAACCCCGAGGTGAGGCCATTCACGTGGCCTACGATGGTGCTCCTGGGCTGTGCAAAGCAGCAGTCCTGTCCAGCTCCCAGGTAGCTGCCAGGAATTGAACCCTGACCTTTGGGGGTTGGCCTAGGGAAAAGAAACAAGTCAGAGCCTGATCCCACTTATGGGAGGCTTTCAATTCTGTCGACCCTATGCCCCAGCCTCCCCCGCCAAATGGCAGGGAGCTAGAAATGACCTCAGTCCTGAACCCCCCCCCACCCCAGCCTGGGGTCTCTTAGGGTTCATGCCAGGGCTGCAGGTCTGCTCTTTAAAATCTTGTAGAAGTGAGAAGAGGAATGTGGAGCCCTTATATCTCTGAGCTGGAAGGAGTCTAGGTTACTACGGCTCAGCAACCAGGGGACTTTCCTACACTAGATGGGAAATCTTGGGATTCCTGGCTCAAGATGCAGTGCTCTTAGGCCTTTACACATCCTAGAAAGCATTCTCCACCCTGCCCGCGCCATGCTCTCCCAGTACTACTCCAGCTATATACCTGCTCTTACGCTCCATTCCTAGACACATTGGCTCCGCCCCCGCATATAAGCCTATTGGATGTGGCTCTTGGTCGGCTCTTAGCACTTGTGCCCATTGGATGTTACTCTCAGCCCCACCCCCGACTTTCACACCCACTGAATATTGCTCCTGGTTCCGTCCCCCAGCATGTGCACCCATAGGTGCCATCAGCCTCAGGCACTTACACCCACTGGATGTTGTTCTTAGCCTTCTTGCGGATAAGCTGGATGCCCTCCAGCACGTTGGTGATGTCATAGATGCGTCGCTTCTGCACGTCCAGCACCTCAGCAGCCCAGTTCAGGTCCAGGACCCCATCCTTGGACTCACTCAAGAGGTAAATGAACTTCTTGGTGAGCAGCCCCAGCGACGTGTCGTACCGTGTCTTCTCCCCAGGGGACTTGGGTGCTGAGGAGGAAAGAGGCCCAGTCAGTGCTGAGAGAAGGCCAGCCTGGGGAGCCCCCTTCGTTGATCTGGACCCATTCAGTACCACCGTTCATGTGTGCACCCACTTTCCAGCTACGGAGCACTAGGAGGCAAGGAGTCATTTGCTACCATTGTCCGAAGAGGGAGCCTCATACCTAGAGAGGGAAAGTCACTTGCTTAAGGTCTCACAGTCAAGGGCAGTGTCAGGGCTGGAAACCGAGTGTCCTAACTCCTGGTGCAGAGCAAGCACCTTGCCAACAGAGCTTAGGGCAGCCACATCACCACCACCGACAAGGACAACAAACGCTTACTGGGTGTAGGCCACCTTCCATGTATAACAAATTTAATCCCTACGACGTCCTATAAATTCAGTGCATAACCATTTTATAGATGGGAACACTGAGGCACAGACAGGTTAAGTTACATGCTCTCCTCACTCGGCCAGAAAGTGGCAAAGCTGGAATTTAAACCCAGGCACTGTGACTCTCAGTCTTCCTTCTTAATCATTATCCTATCCTGCCAGGTAGGTCAGAAATTTGGAGCTAGGATAGGGAGTGAATGACAAACTTGGATTTGAGAACATTCTTACAGACTTGCCTTCTCTTTCTATGTGCTCCAGTGGGGCAGGTTCATGAAAAAGATCCCTTTGTTAATGAAGCTGATGTCACAAGACCACATCTCAGCTGCAGCATCTTAAACCACAAAAGAACTTTTGCAATCAAGTGTCTTGCAAGTCATATAGCAAGTTAGTGTCCAAACTAGTTCAGGAAACTGAGTTTTAGAGAGTCTCAGATTCCTCTAGAAGGGGACCTTACGGTCCCTTAACATGAAGATGACAAATATTTGGCACACAGGCTCCTTTTCCAACTTTTGCGTCCACGGCAAGCATCACTAATTGATCAACGCTCTTAGGATCCTGCAATAAAGAGCTCTGAGCAGCTTCTACCAACCAACAGGAAAGGAAACTCTGGTGCTACTCCTGCTCTAGCTGTACCTCATTTTACAGATGAGACAACTAAGGTGCACAGGAGAGGAGTGGCCAGTCATGTCAGGTCAGGACACAGCTCTGCCTGGACCTCCAAATTCCTGACCCTGTCGCTTCCCACCCAGTCACATACCTTCTTTATCGGGTCTCTGACCGCCAAAATTAGCGTTCGCTCCTAACACAGGTGTTAAAACTCCCACTCTAACTAGGATGACTGCAAATAACAAGGTGGAAACATCTCTCCAGCTTAGCTTTAGAAAGTTAAGGCAGCAAAAACTCTGAGGTAGCATGGGTTGGGTTAATCCCAGCTCCATTCCCCGCCGAATCACTTATTTAGCTCTCTGTCTGCATGTGGGAGGAGGAACCTACTCCTCTCTGAGCTGGATTCTCTCTTTTAGAAAAGGTCAGATTAAACTAAAGAAACTTCTGAAACAGTAAGCTCCCAACAAAATTTGTTGGTCATCATATTTCGAACCCCAGGGCAGAGGTGTGAGGGAAGCAGTGCAAGGCTGGCTTGGGGCTCTGACCCCGCGTACCAGCCGGGTGACCTTGGGCAAGACACTCAGGCTCTGGGTCTCAAGTTGCTTCTTCAGTCAATGGCGGGCACCCCGACCTGCCTGGCAGGATCCACTGAGAGAGCGCACAGGCACTGTTTTCTACTCCAGGAAGTGTGCCACAAATATTGCACCTGATGATTTGGGCAGGGCTGCTGCCCTCTGCCCCTGGCCCCCCCCCGCCCCCAAGTCTCCTGAGTCTGCCCCCAGCGGCCCCGCCAGCACAACTTACTTTTAGGGCTGGGGAGGCCATCCACTCGGATGCACTTCCCCTTGGGGGTCTGGAATTCCAGGACCGCGGGCCTCCCGATCCCCTCCAGGTCCAGCTTCCTTTTGGCCTTGGAGAGAGAGGAGGGGAAGAGGCAGAGTTTGAGAATCCTTCCTCCTGCAGCCTTTCCCCGGCCTGGGGCCAAAGCACTGAGGCCACCAGCAGCCACTTCCCACCTCAGTTTACCCCCAGTCCTGGTGAAACATCACTGTACTTGGTGAGGAGATATCAATGACCTGACAAGTGACCTTTCAGGGGAAGGAAGTCCTATTTTCTGAGAGGCACACCACACTCCCATCTCTGAGGCCCAGGCACTTGAGACCATACCAAAGTTAGCCTGGCCAAGAGCTCAGAGTTCCTTAGTAACAGGCCACAAGGTCACTTCTACATCTGCCCCCTCCCCCCAATGTACACAGGATGATGCAGGAAGGAGTGGGTGGGGCCTAAACCACAGACTGGGGAGAGTGCCCCCCCCCCAAGCAGCTGGCCTAGCCAGGCTGGGTGCCCATCACAGCCCCACAGCTGTCCCTTATCAGGGTGGGGCTGGGCATCCGCCCAGGCCCAGGGGACTTCCTGGATTGGTGCCACAACCCAGGGAGGTGCCCACACTGGGAAGCAGTGCAAACACCCCCCACCCCTATGTTTGGGCTTCAGCTCAAGGGCTCCAGGGCCTCCTGAATAGACTCCATTTGCCATTCTTTCTTAGCGGAGAGGGGCAGACAATGAATCCTTCCCCTATGTCTTAAGGACAAGCAGCTGAGGTCACCCTGCTCCCCCTCCCTGTTCCCGCCAAGCTTGGGAAACACCTGCTGGGGAAATCAAACCACAGACCCATCTGCTCCTCTACACCCCATTGCCACCCGGCCCCAGTTAGGCCCAGAAGCTGCGCTGGCCCGGAAGGGGCCTCACTCCTGGTTAGAGCTGGGCAGGGGCAGGGCTAGGGCACTGGGGCACTGGAGTCAGAGACCTCTGCTTGCACCTCCCAGCTCCTTCACAGGCACACAAGACTTGGAGAAATGCCCCACGACTAGGAACCTGTTTCCTCCTCTGTAAAGTGGGGCAGAAAAATACCTCCATCAAGGGGCCGTTGTAAGAATTCAAGAAGATAAGCCCCGTACTGCTCAGCCCGTGGCTCAGCACACAGTAGTTGTTCAGGAAACACGGAGTCCCTACTCTAAAATCCAATCTCAGCCTCTTCCTCGGCACACACTTCTGGGGGTCACTGAGCCTATTTTCTTCTATTTTCTGTCCCAACCAGTCATCCCGACCCCAGTTGGGACAGAGAGGCCTATTTTAACCTTTTGTAGTGAGGTCATGCTCGGCAGGGCTGAGACTTCTAACCGCTACCGAGCACAGCTGGGCTGACAGGTGTAGGAGGTGCTGACAGTTCTTGCTCTAAGCTCTCCTTTGTGCTGCAGTGCCCCATTCCACCTCCTCCAGGGAGTCTTCCTGGATTGATGTGAGGAGTACCATTCCTTGGTTTCAGGAGTCTGAATATGATATTTCTCTCCTCCACACCTGCCCAGACCTGGACATGATCCAAACACCTCCTGAAGTCTCTTTGGAATATTCCTTTTCGAATATCCCAGCTGGTGACATCTTAGATTCTAGGGAAGGTGGCCTGCTCTAGAGAAAGGCCCAATCTTTCGCTGAAAACTTCCACATGCCCTGGTATAAGCCCCAACATTCATCGCCTCACTGAATCTTCCCAGCACCACTAATCCCCATTTTACAGCTAAAGTAACTGAGACTTGGTGAGCTCCAAGGCCTTTATCAATCCTGATCAAGGTTATTGATCCCAGAATCCTTCATCCATTCCTCAGAAGGAACGTTAAGGGCAGGGCAAAGAAGGGAAGTCAGGCTGAGTTCTACCTGAGGCAGGGGTGGGGCAACCAGAATCTCCCCAACCCCAACGACCTCCCTACCCGACAGGAGCCTGATCCTGCTGAGCTCACAGAACACTCCAGGAAGAACCTCACCGCCCGCAGAGTGGGGAGAAGTAGGGGAGGACCTTGAACAGAGTACCCGTGAAGAGCCTGTCCTGTGCTCCTCAGAGCTGCGACATCAGTACTGGCAATCTCTCTTGGTAGAGAAGCAGAGACTAGAGAGGCTAAGCCATGTGCCCAGTCTGGGAGCACATGGGAGGAGCCAGTCTGAACCCAGGTCTGCCTGATTCCAAAGCCATGTATGTACCAGGCTTCCTCAGCTCCATCCCACACACGTTCCTTCAGAATCTGCTGGACTAGGGGCCAAGGCCTGGCTATACCCACCTGCCTCCATCACTTTACTTTACACACACCAGTCCCCTCCCTTCTCACTCTCAATCACCCTTATTCTGCACTCTGAGTCCCAGAGCACAAAGTGTCCCCCACCCAAGGGCATCTCTCTGATACCTTTGTGCACTGCCCAGAAAAAGGCCAGCGCATGGATGTTCCTGGGCCTGCAGAGCACAGCAGCAGAGGACAAGCACAGGAGGAGGACCCAGGAGAGGCCGAGCACAAGCCTCAGAGCCAGGCCACCGGGGGTTCCCATCCAGCTCTCCGACCCCACTTCTTAGCTGGGGGAGCTGAGCAAGTAAGTTCACCTCCCAAATCCTGCCTGTAAAGTACGGGGGGTAACCCACTCGGCCTCTGCCAGCGAAGTGCTTTGCTCTTTGCTCACTCGGGAGCTGCCGTCACTAAAGTGCCAGAAGCACCAGAAGGGAAATGTTCAGAGGCAAGCTGGAAAGACAGAGGTTGCCAAGAGCAAATATCTGGGACCACACCCAGAGGCCAGGCTGGCTCTAACCTGGGCCCTCTGAGGCAGCCCCTTTGGCTGTCTCCTAAAAGCCTGGCTAAAATTCGAAGCCACCCAGCCAGTCCTCAGGGAGCAGAGCAGAGGCCCTTCCTCTGGCAGCCCCAGGAGTGAGGGAGCCAGACACCACCCCCTCTTGGGGCAGCAAGGTGAGGAAACTGGGGCTCAGGGGAGGGGAGGCGACTTGCCCAAGGTCACACAGGGAGTGGAGCCAGGCCTCTGAGCACCCAGTCTTAAGCTGGACAGCGGGGGTAGGAGCAAGTGAAAGGCCTTACTTGAGAGCCTCACTTCCAGGTCCCAGCTGGGGATTCACTGCCTTGACTCCCTGAGCTTGCGTTTCCTCACCCCACCCACCTTGCAGAGTTGTTCATCAAAATGCTCACTTTCTTTCATGGTTCTCAGAGGAAATTTGGAAAATAGAGAGAAATTAAAAGGAAGAGAACATTGCAGAATCCCACCCCCTTCACAGGTTCCTGCAGGTGTCAAAGACAATGATGCAGTGCCTGGTCGGAGCAGAGACTCAACAGACGGTCGTCCCAAGCCTTCTCCGGAGAGTGGTGGGAAAAGCACTAGACAGGGAGTGCAGGGACCCAGCCTCTGGCCTTCATTCTGCCATCCCTGGGCAGTGCCTGAGGTCCCTTTAAACAGCAGCTCACTGACAAATCCTGTTCACCCTGCACTTTGCAGCCTGGCCACAAAGCAAGCGACCACACCCAGGGTTGGGTTTGGAACTGCTCCAGGTCACACCCTGGTAAAATGAGTAAGCAGGGGGCCAAGGCCTGCTCACAGGGCCAGGGGCACCGGGCATCTGAGGGCTGACAGGAAAGAGGGAGCTCTGGGCCTGGTAGGCCCTTAGGGTGGTCTTTTGCAAGACCACTCTACCGCTTCTTGGCTTGTTCCTTGGAAAAGTGGCTTCACGCCTCTGCTCAGTTTCCTCATCTGTAAGATGCCTCATCCCAGGCATCTCAACCAAGATAACGAATGTGAAGAGTGCCAAGCAGTGCCTGGCACCTCGCAGGCACTCAGTAAAAGAGAGCCATTCTTGCTGTGATTACTGAGCCCCTCTTGGAGGGAGGTACAAACAGATGCACTCAGGCTCCTCTGGGAGGGAAGCAGTTCAAAACCACAGCTGTTACTGAAACTCTGCTTGGACTCCTGAAAGCAGCTGGCCAGAGGGGACAGGGCCAACCACTGAGCCCCTTCCCGGAATGCCCCCAGCTTCTAAGTCAGCCAGTACGAGGGAAAGTCAAGGCTGCAGAGAAGAGACTGATGACCACCTGCCCATGCCTCATACATCTCCCTGTATGGCCTTGGACAGGTCATATCCCCTCTCTGAGCCTCAGTTTCCCCCTACTGCCTTCTACTTCACAGGATTCAAAACTGTTTTAGGCTGTAAAATGCTGAACACAAGACAGATACCTAGTCCCAGCTAGTCCTGACTGCTTGGCCTGTAAAATGGGACTAGCTCTCCTGCCTTCTCCTGCCTAGCTGGAAATAACACTCAGGAAGCGGCTCTGGGTAGGTTAAAGCCTTGAATGTGGGCAAAGCAGGATTCCAGTAGCAGGGAGTGAGGGCTCTGCCTGCATCCATACATGGCTGGGGTCTGCGCCTGGTGACCGACGTGGGTCTGACCAGGTGCCTCCAGGGGCATGGTCTTACCCCTATACCTGCACTTATTCATCTCTCACAACTAAGCAAGCCTACAACCCCACTCCCTGCAGCCTGCTTCCAAAACCCAGCACCTGGAGCTGGAAGTGGCCTGAGATGAGTTAGCTCCACAGCTACTCCAAGCACACACACATTTTCAGGAAAATGAAACAGAAGCTAAGATTTGTCCGAGGACACAGTGAATCAGTGGCAGTTAAGACCAGAAACCAGGCTCTCCAACCACCATCCCCCAGTTCCCCAAGGGCTTTTCCCACCCCACCCTCACCCTATGGTTGTTTAGATTCTCATGAGCTCCAGCCAGGAATTCCACTCCCACAAAACACACCCTTGAGCCCAGTGCCACCGCACTTGGGGCTCTCCCTGGCAACAGGCTTGGGGGCTTAAGGAGGGAACAGTCAATCTGAACAGGAACCCCAGCGAGCTGCCCCCAACTTGCACCTGCTACTGGCTGTCTGGGAGGGAAGACTGGGCCTGGGGGAGAACCCAGAGCACATAATTAGGAAGAAGTTGGCTGGAATAGGAGATTTGGAGTCTGTCCAAGCCATATTGGACTGAGAAGACCTAACCACCCTCCCTTACACACACCCATTTTTAAGTCCTTACTGTATCTGCAGACCTAGCTCTCTGCTGGCACAATAGCAGGAGCCCAGCACTGGTTACTGAGCCAAACGATGAATGAAGAATGAATGAATGACAACAAAGTTGGCTCCCTGGACTTCCCCAAGGTCACAAAGTGCACTAGGGGTGGTGGGTTGGATCTCGACATTCCCAATCCAATGTTCATTCCACTCCATTCCAATGTTATTTTACCCCACGTTTGAAAATGAAGGGCTCTTCTCCACCGGGGGGGGGGGGGGGTGGATTGTTCTGGAAGCTGGAAACTCCCCTTCTTCCTCCCCAAACTCGACCTGCTTCATTCAGACTGGGTCCCAGGCGCCTCTCTCTCCTTGACCACACCAGGAAAGCATAAGGGGAAGCGGTTAGGGAGATTGTAGAAAGGGTCCCCAGAATTACCGGCAGCCGGCCAGCCGGCACGCATCGCACAGCTTGGCCCTCCGGTCCGTGGGGGGTGGCGTCGAGGCAGGTGCCGGGCACCGCGGCCGGAGGCACAGTCTGCGGGTACAGCGGGGCGTAGTAGGTGGTGGTGACCGGGCACAGCTGGGGGCTGCCGAGGCCGGACGGCCACAGTTCGGTGGGGCTCATCACGGGCAGCCCCTTCAGGGTCGGCCCAGCGGCCGGAGCCAGGGCCCGGGGCCCTCGCAGCATGGCGAGCGCAGAGCCCCCTCCCCTGGCGCGCCGGCGGGCACCAGCGGACTCCGGAGCCAGCGGTGGCTCACACGGCCCGCGGCATGGTGCGGAGGCTGGGGGAAGCCGCCAATGGACGCCTGCCGGGTAAGGCCGGACCCTCCCCTCCTGGCCCAGGGCCGAACTGAGCAGCGCTTGGAGATCCCTGCTTGGAGATCGCCCCGCGGCTGGGACTGCTGCACAGCCAGGGGCTGCCCCGCCCCAAGGGCGGCCGCGACCCGCGACGGCCCCACGCCCCCGGAGGCCTCGGCGCTTAGGGTGCAGCGCCTAGGGGTCTCTGGCGTACCCGCGGGCTCGACCGAGACGTGATGCGCTCGGACAGGGTAGGAGGACCGATTGCACTGACTCTCGCTTCGCTCTGCAGTCCCTGAGCCTTTCTCTGCCTCTTTTTTTTCTTCTTCTTTTTTTTTTAGCGCCAAACTGCGTGCCGCGAAATTCGGATCTCCCGCGGAAAATGCCGCGCTTCCGTTGGTCGCTGCAACAAGCTTAGGCTCCACCTCCCGGAAAGGACCCATCCCCTAGGCGGTGATTACAGGAGGAGTTTGGCTGCTTAAAGAGACAGTCACACCTGCTGTCGCTCTTGAAACAGACTGGGAGGGTGGTTCCGGTAATGTGCAGAGAAGCACCTGAGCACTGCGGAGCGCCCCGGGGAATGGGCCCGAATTCCCTGGGGGTGGGTCGGAAACGCAGTCTTGACCTGAACCCAGCCCCAGCAGTACATTACCCAGGTCGAGGGTCTATTGTTTGTTGGCAGGTTGCTTAGCTAGCATATATGCATTTCTATCCTTATCTTGATAAAGTGAAGGCCAGGAATCTGTTCTCTTTCTTGGGGGCCGAGGGGGGCCGCGGCCGAGGGACGGAGCCTAACATACCTCTTAGCAGGGGCATGCTAACGTCTATTGAGCGCCTACAGTTGCCGAGCCGCTGCTAGATGATTACATGCATTGTTTTGAATTTAATACAACAAATTCCTGGGAAGAGTAATAAGGATCTTCCTGGTAAAGATGTAGAGTGTTAGAGGATGGGTAACTTGCCTCAGGTCACATGGAGAGATTTGCTGATTTGAGAACTGGCAGTCCAACCTGGGACAGGCCAGCTCCTCAGCCCTCGTTTGTTCCAGTAAAAGGTTCCTCCTCAATTCTTCCAAGCTGTGCCCTGTGCCCTGCCCCTTGCAGGTATGGGGGTGGGGGTCCAGGGTTCAGAGCTCTGTCTTTTTCACAGTTGTATTCCCAGAGCCCAACACCCAGTAAATACTTGAAAATCTCCAGGTTTCTCCTAAACAATCCTTTTGTCACAAGAGCCTCCCTCCTTTATTCAAAACTTTTATTGTTGATAATCCACTTACATTCCTCTTCTCTCCAGTTAAGAGATGCTGTGGCTCAGAGACGTGACCTTGGCTAGTGAATGGCAATGCTGCCCAAAGCTGCTGCTAAATTCTAGGTCTGCTGATTCCTTCCTGGTGCCATGTGATTTTTTTTGCATGTCTGAGCTTGGCATTTGTAGCCATTCAGAGTCAGTTCCCAGCTTAATGCTTAGTCCTCATCCTCAGATAGTGAGGCTGAGGTGGCAATAATCCATGGTGACTAAGAGCCCAGACTTTGTAGACAGCCTTGAGTTTAAACCTAGGCCCTATCACTTGACTAGCTGTGTGACCCCACGCAAGTTTTGTAAACCAAGTTTTCTCATCCCTAGTAACAACCATCTTGTAGAATTCTGGGAAAATTTCATGAGATCATGCATGTAAAGCTCTCAACATAAAACCTGGTTCATAAGGAACCTCAAGAAATGGTAGCCGTGGTTACTTCTCTGTCATCTCCTGTACACAGATCCCTCACTCCAATCTACCTATTTCATTGGTCCTTCAACTCCTCCAGGAAGCTTTCCTTGCCTTACTCCCCTTTACCAGGGTTTTTCTTACACTTTCAACCCTTAGAGTGTTCTACCTCAACAAACAAGGCTTTGTTTTCATACCCTGTTTATTAGTTAGGTTCTAAGCTCCCTTAAAGGTAAGAACTCTATCTGAACACCCCTCAGCATCTAGGACCTGATTTTGCATGTGGAATGTAGGTAATAAATATCGACTATATGATTCACTCATCTTCCCAGCAAAGAGTGACAAGGAGGCCCCGATTCAAGTCCCACTGTGCACTTCCTAAGTGACCCTGAGTGAACTGCTGCTTCACGTCTCAACCCTCAGATATGGGTAATGCTCCCACTCAGCCTATTTCACAGGACTTCAGAGACACTATTAACATAGTGGTGATAAAAAGTTCCAAAAAGATAGCCCTAGTTGGTGTGGCTCAGTGGATTAAGTGCTAGCCTGTAAAGCAAAAGATCAACGGTTTGATTCCCAGTCAGGCCACATTCCTAAGTTGTGTGCCAGGTCCCCGCTGGGGGTGTGTGAGAGGCCATGCGTCAATGTTTCTCTCCCTCTCTTTCTCCCTTCCTTTTCCTCTCTCTAAAAATAAATAAATAAATAAAGTACATTACCCAGGCCGAGGGTAATTTTTTTTAAAGAATTAAAAAAAATTTTTTTTAAGATAGAAAGAAAAAATGGTGGTGGAGGTGATGATCAATATTTATGAGAACCTACTGCGTGTTGTGCTCCAAGCTCTTGGGCATCTCCCCTGAGCCTCACAACACCCCTCGGAGACTTGCACTCTTTTTATCCCCATTTTACAGATGTGGGAACCTGGAAGGAATTGTAGCAGAGCAGGTTTGGGGAAGAAGCAGAGCCCCAGGGTCAGGAAGGGAAATGGGGGTGGCAGGGTGGGGCTGAGACCAAAGGGAGCCAGCAAGGGGGCTGAGAGCCAACTCTGTGGTTGAGTTTCAGGCAGCTGAGGTTGGCTTTTGAGTTTCACTGCCTGGGAACTAATTCCTGCAAAAGGTGTGCACAGGTCTGCAGTCTGTCTCCCTGAACTTGAATTCACGCCCCATCCACTCCTAGCGTTTGTGAGACTGCTGCACCTCTCTGAGCCTCGACTTCCTCATCTTTGCAATGCGAATGGCACAAGTGACCTTTCCATTTACTGTGAGGATCCATAAGTTATAGGATATAAAATATTCAGAAGGGTGCATGCCAAGTGGGTACTTAACATGTTTTAGCTAAAGTTTGTATGAGATGAACCAGACGAGGCCCTCACATGGAATCAAACTAAAATACTTGCAGGTTTTGCATTCATGCGTTTGGACAGAAAAAAAAAATGGGGGAGGGGTTCTATGGAAAGTAACCTCACAGGGTGATCTGATCATAAATTCCTAACTGGGTAGGTCATGGTGGGTAGTCATGCCCCAGGCTTGTAACTTCTTTAGTGAAAGGTTTTAAGCAACCTCTGCCCTTGTTTTTGAGTATTTAGGTAAACATACCTTTGAAATACCAGGAGTAACACCCCTAGAAGGGAATATCAACCCTCAAGAGAGCAAATAATCTTGTTAACTGTCTTGTAATCCAATCCCCATGCTGCTTTCTCCACCTCCATGTATGTTCAAGTGTATAAAAGAAGCTGCAAAACTATTATTCTCCAGAATATTTGAGATCTTGCTCCCTGGCACATGTTGTCAGTTTGACCCAAATAAACTCATAAAAACGCTCTACAGGTTTAGACATTCCTTAATGTCGACATGCTCTACACTTTCCCATTTCCCAGGCTTTGCTTACATATCCATGTTTGCTTCATATCCATGAGGCCCGTCCTCGCTTCCATCCCCATGTGTTCAAATCTGATCCATCCTTCAAGACCCAACTCACAGGGGAGAGTGGTAAGAACAACGCATGTGAAATCAGACATCCGGTGAGACTTCAGACCCCTTGGGAGCAGGACCCAGGGTCCGTCTTCCCCTTTGTGCTCTCCTCCCTGCGAGTGCCAGGCACGGAGGGCTGCAGTCGGTGAGGACAGTGGTAAGGGCTCCCATCTCTCACGCACTTTCTCACCCTGAAGCTCCCAGCCAGGAGCTTTACGTGCGTTATTGTGTTGAAACATCCCACCTACCCTTTAACATAGGTACAATTTGGACAGATGAAGAAACCGAGGCTCAAAAATGTAAAAGGACTTGACTGATTAAAGATGAAACCAGGGTCAGAACTCAGATCTGTCTCCCAAGGCACGGAGGCATTTTGAACAAAGAACTTAGCCCCAGGACCCACGTAAAGGAGGGAGTGTTCTGCCAATGAACCAGGGGTTCCAGAGCTGCAGACATCGTTGGGCATGGAAGGTGTGCCCTCAACTAGGTAAGTTAGGGAGGCATAGTTTCATTTTCCGGATGAAAAAGCAAGGCATGGGGCACGTTAAGTGACTTGACTGATGTGGCACAGCTGGTAAAGAGGAAGCCCCTGGGCCAGCCAGGCTCAAAACCCTGGAAAAACCCCAAAGCAAACTTCTTTATCCCTGGTCTATCTTCTGCAAAACGCCTCAGGTTCCCTCTGCTTAAAGTCCTATATATCAAAATACAAAATGCTGTATATTAGCTTCCTGAAGACACGGATCTCTTGTTCCGTGGTTCCCCAGTGATTACCTGTTCCCGTGACCCCACAGTCAGAAAGAAGCCATGTTGGAGCTGCAGAAAGGAAGGAACATCTGCTCCATCTTCTTTGTGCTTCTCTGTATAGTTTTTTCAACCTATTCTACAATAAGCATGCATTACTTTGTAATTGGAGATAAAAGGTTATATTTAAAAAAGAAAAGAAACAAGTTGCTGCTTCAGGGAAGTTCTGCTAGTGATAATAATGTTTTTACTGGAAAATTGTTGGAATGCGAGGTTCATGGGTTCTCTGGATTGACACAGAGTAAATACTACATGAATGTTAAATAAATAAAATTCTGGGCTTGACACTCCTTAAGCTGTGTGCTTTGGATCATATCATTAACAGCACTACTCTGGGCCTCAATTTCTTCACCTGAGAAATGGGGCTAATCATGGCTGCCTCAGGGCTATTGTGGCGGTTTAAATCAATCTGGGATAAT